GCCCCGCGTGCCTCCCCCCCCCAACGACTCCACGCACAGAAAACCATCTTCAGGGCCCAGGGCTCGCTCACTCACTCAGTGTGAACACACAACACCGGGGCACTCTACAAGACACCAGGATCCTCAAAACAAGCAAGGCCACGGACACTGAGCCGGACTGAGCACCTGCCACAGGCACAGGGAGGGGACACAGCGCAGGGCCTGGAGGGAGCCGGGCGCAGAGCGAGGACAGTGGGAAGCCCGGGAAAGGCCAAAAAAAGCTGGGACTACCAAGACGCCAGGGTCGTCCCTGCCTGACACGTGTACCATGTGGCATACGATGTTCATGAGAAGGGAAACGGGGCCAGAGTAAGTCAAAACTCTCTGCATTGTATTTGCAACCTTTCTATAAACATAAAATTGTAAAACTTAGGGGCACTGCCTTAAGTAAAAGAAATACCAGAACACGGTTCACCTTCAGGCGCTTCTTTGTAAGGACACAGCGGCTGCGCCAACTTGGGGGTAAAAGCATGGGTGTATTCAGTCTTGATTTGTAAATATGCCAATGAATAGAACCACTCGTTGCAGGCTCTTAGTTAAATCTCTGCAGAGTCAAGGGAAGGTCAAAGGTCTGTCTGAAGGGGAGTTACCGACAATGGGAGCACTCAGACGTCCCGGTAGCTCTCCTGGGTCCCTCAGGGGAAGCCAGAGATCATGAAGGCATCCCCCCAGCCCTCCGTCTTAGATCCTGTCATGTACCGTGCCAGAAAGAAACCCTGGTGGTGCGGCAGTTAAGCGCCTGCCTGCTAACTAGAAGGTCAGTGGTTCGAACCCACTGGCCGCTCCAAGGAGGCAGCTGGGGCTGGGAACCTTCCGGAAGCCCTCAGAACCTTGACAATTACTTCTAGATACAACTAGTAACACCGTCTACTCTGTATGGAGGGAGTTTGAAAAATATGCATGAAAAATGAAATGAAGACTATGATAAAATGATAATTTATAAATTATCAAGGGTTCCCGAGGGAGGGGTGAGCAGGGGAAAAAATGAGAAGCTAATGCCAGGGGCTCAAGTAGAAAGCAAATGTTTTGAGAATGAAGAGGGCAACAAATGTACAAATGTGCTTGACAGAATGGATGTATATATGGATTGTGGTAAGAGTTGTATGAGCCCCCAGTAAAATGACTTAAATTAAAAAAAGAAAAATGGAATGAAGAGATCATGGACATTTTCCACAAATGTTTTCAAGTCCCACATTTGTCTTAGAACCAGGGCTGTCTAGATCCCTGACTGTAGCAAGGGACGTCCCACAATGTCATCTCGTCGCGGGAAGTTAGCCTTTCACGCATCTTAAAACACGCTCACCACCACCGAGTCCATGCTGGCTCACAGCCCCCGAGGTGGGTCCCTGGGGCTCTAACTGTTGGAGAGAGCAGACAGCCCCGGCTTTCTCCCTCAGAGCTGCGGGGTTTCGAACTGCCGACCACGCACATCACAGCCCAACACATCAACCCGGCACCACCTCACAGTGAGCTCTTGATACAGAAACGAGAGAAGCCCCCCTAGCTACACTAACAGTGCACTGGGCAGCCATTCGGTGGTAATTCAGAAAGTGGGCCTGGCAATCTGCTTCCACAGAGATGGCAGCCACGCTAACTCCACACCACCTGTGGTCCCCACGGAGATGACAACCACGCGAACCCACACCACATGTGGTCACCACAGGGATTACAGCTACACTAACCCCACACCACATGTAATCACCCCAGAGATGACAACCACGCTAACCCCACACCACGCATGGTCCCCACGCGTCAGAGCAGTGGGTGGCTGTGAGCGTGGCAGTCTGATGGCTGGGCTACGTACGCCTTTGTGGCCTCCAGGAATAAGGAGATCTGGCGCTTGATGTATGGCTGCCTCAAGACGCTCCGCACAGACGGTCTCTCTTCAGGCCTTTTGCTCAGCATGGTTCTGATCAGCTCGGCCAGCTCTGGGCTGTAATCCTTTGGCATGGGTGGCAACTGCAAAGAGAATGCCACAGGCATGACGGACGTTTGCATACCACAAATGGCACAAAGGCATCAGCAGAAAACCACTCAAGGGAAGTACGCTGCTGCCCTGGCTGTCCTGCCAAGGGGCAGGGATCGAGGGCAAACCCTTCCGCCCAGAGTCCTGGGGGGGACTCTCTCTCTCTCAGATGCAGGCATGAATTTCTACAGATGGTCACTGTAGCTATATGGCAGTCGTAAACAACGAGAAACAACGGTGACACTTGCGAACAAATGACGGAGCGTTTCCTAACGGCATAGGCAGCCATCATTTAAGATTGGCAGGAGTCGACCTGGAAGGCCATCAGTTACCCTTCCTCTATGATGTCCAACAGCAGCAGCAGGCTGTGGACCGGCCAACAGGTCCCACCTGACTCAGCCCCAGGGCCCCTCTGTGTCTAGCCACGCCCATGAGGGCGGCACCCAGAAGGCCAGGAAGACAGCCCCGCCCAGCTGCTCACTAGCGGAAAGAAACGGAGGGAAACCTCACTCCTTTCTTGTTGAATTCTTCTAACAGTGGAATTATGGGCAACTTCTGCCTTGTTTGTCTTTCAGAATACTTTCCCGCCCAATTAAAAACTTAGTGGGTTTCCGTATATGAGCAAATGTATGGCTTACAGCCGTCACACAGCTTGATGGTGCTTGGATACCCGGCCCTGCAGAGGGCCCCTGGCCCGATGAAGGAATAAACTGCGTTCACATTGCAGATGGGGCTTCCGCCATTTTTAATCAGTGGTCCGCGATCGGAATGAGCCAGACACAGTGGATTCACTGTCAACGGAGCGTGGTTAGGCGGACCGGCTGGGGCAAAGATAGCACTAGCTCTGAGGTAGAAGAAAGGCTTCCAAAAGTCTGGTTCCTGTGCGTTCCTTAAGTCACCGTGACTATTAATATGAAAAAACACGAGGGAAGGCGAGCCTGCCGCCCTGTGTCACAGGGAGAGGCCGACACTGCAGTTCGTTACCAATCCCCTCCCCCTCGCACTCCGTCAGCCCCAGAAAGGACTGGCCGGTCTGAAGGACCCGCTAGGAGAGTGAGTCTGTCCTCGCCTTTGCCAGCAGCTACTTACAAGGCAACATGAAAGACCATGAGTTCTGGAATCTTCTTTACCTTCCCCTCAATGATCCGGTACACTAGGGAATTCATGTCTTTGGCGTTGAAAGCGTGCTTCAGCGTGGCCATCTCATACACACAGCAGCCCAGAGCCCAGACGTCAGACTAGGGGGGGACAAGAGTGCAGCGAGGAGGGTCAGCGAGGCGGGTCAGCGAGGCCTCGCCCCTCCCGGGGGCTCTGCAATGACCCACCCCAGCCTCCAGGCGGCGTGCAGCGCCCCACCTGACCTTGTAGTTGTAGGGCTTGTTGGAGAAGAGCTCGGGGCTCATGTAGTACGGCGTGCCGATGAGGGTGCTGGCCATGTCACAGTGGCCCTCCAGCACCCGGGCAATGCCCAGGTCGCCCACCTTGATGATGTTCGTTCTGGTCAGGAAGACGTTCTGAGTCTTCAGGTCTCGGTGTAGGATATGCTTCTCATGTAGATACTGAGGGATGGGGGGAGACTCTCATTAAAACACACACACACACACACACACACACACACACACACACACACACACACACACACACGCGCGCGCAACCTGCTATCTAGCCCGAGCTTATTCAGGCGGGGCAAGGGGTTGTGGTACAGTTTACTCTTAAGACAGGTGGGCATCCGGGTTGTGCCCTTTCACCCCACTTGGCCCACCGGTCAGCGGAGCAAGTCATCAGAGAAGCTGGACCGTGAGGGGAGGGAGAATGTGGACACAAGAGAGCACCAACCCACTATCGGCACAGGGCACCCGCTTGCTGAGGGACAGCCTAGGAGACACGAAGCACTTCCCGATGACGAAGCTCGAAGACCACAGCCTTCAGAGCGGGTATACCTCACACCAACGCTCACCCTGGGTCACCACACAAAGCACCAATCCTCACCCTGGGTCCATGAGCACCATTGTGGATGAACAAGACTGGAGTTCAAGGATTTCCAGGTCCCTGGATCCACAACCCATGCTCATGGAAGCGGCGGTCAAGGAATCAAATGACATGAAGTGGACACGCTGAGTCTCACAGGGAGACAGTCACAGAGACACGTCAATCCCACGTCCCCCACCAGACCAAGGCGGGGGACCAGTACCCTCCCTCTCCGTGGTGGGATACAAATGGGGAAAGATAGACCATGTATCTGTGACTCTTATTCCACCGCCAAGGCTTGGTCTAACCCAGTGCCCAAGGTTAGCGTCGCCAGAGTTACGTTACCGAGCCGGTGCCCTGGAGTGCGCTCGGGGTTGGTGAACAAGACGGAAGCACCCAGGCGGCTGGACGAGCGAGCCCATCTGTCCTGGCAGCAGCACCAGCGTCACAGTGCTTGGAAGCAAGGGCAGCGAGGCCTGGTCTCAAACACGGACATGCTGTCGGGGCTACCACGATTGGTGGGTAAAGGCAGGGTGGGTGGAAAAGAGGAAGAGCCCTCAAGGTGACCGACACAGTGGCGGCAACGCGGGGCTGAACCGTACAGTTGTGAGGACAATGAGGGGGCCAGGGCTTCACTGCCTCGCACACAAGGCTGCAGAGACCTGACGGCCCCTAACAACAACGGCATCTCACAGGCCAACCGCAGCGTGGGTGACAACACCTTCGTTAGCTACAAACACACCCAGACACTCTGGCTTCCCAGTCGCTACATTTAAAAGCCTAACTCAGAGTTTCCAGAGTGGGAGAGTGGACCTTGGGGCACTGTTCTGCCCAATAGCATCACAGTTATTCCCCGGAGCTTTGACGATGCCAGTTTAGCCGTATGTGAGTCCAGTTAAGACACTAGAGAGAAACAAGACACTGGAGTGTCCACTGCAGTGGACCACTGTCCACTGAAGGTAGAAGGGCACTTAGCACACCACCAGATGCACACTCCTCGCAGACCCATGGAATCCTCAGCCAGGAATGTCTCCAACCACGGAGAGCTTCTCTCAGCACTTAACTGACAAGGCCAGTGAGTCCCGGGCAGCTCTGCCCAGGTCCAGAGTGGCATTCACAAACATCTCCCTCCTGAAGGCAGGGACGCTGACATTGCAGGGCGCGGCAGTGTGCAGGAGGGTCCTCGAGGAGATGGACTGACACCCAAGGGCTATATCGGGGGCGCGGGCACAGGCACAGCTGGAAGGGTGGCACGGGACCGGGCAGTGTTTCACCCTGTTGTGCACAGGGTCATGACGGGTGGGAGCTGGCGCGATGGCACCCCACCACAGCCACGTGCTACCACACAGCTTGCCTTTCCCCTTTCTGGCCCGCAGCTCAGGCCGAGCCTCCTTGCAGCCCAGCGCAGTGGAGCGGCTGTAACAGGCCTGCTCTGTCTCTGCAGTTTGCTATAAGTCGGCTTTGCCATATGGATTACACGAACTGTGAGTGGTCTCTAATGCCAGCGGACAGGACACTCTTGTCTAAATCGATACAGGCCATCGCCAATCAGAAGCTTTCTAAAGCAGCAGGAAGGAGGAGGCGGCGCACTGCCCTACAGAGACTGACCCAAGAAGACACTTCTTATGTTAGGTGTTGGGGGCCCTAGACTCGCCGACACCCTGGCCCTGAGTTGAGGAGGGTGGCGAGTCGGGACAGTACCTGCAGGGCCATGGCGATCTGGACAAACCACTCCACCACCTGACTCTCGGGGAGGAGCTGGCCCCTCTGCTCCTTGAGCTTCCGGTACAGGTCCCCTCCTTCGCAGAAGCCCATGACGATGTAGAGCAGCCCGTCCCCTCCCTCCCAGGACTCCTTGTAGGTGACAATGTTGGGGTGCTTCAGCCGAGACAAGAGCTGCGCTTCCTGCTCAGCGGCTCGGCGCTCTCGGCTGGAGGCGTTTCGGAGGTTCAGTTTCTTGATGACGTACTGCAAGGAAAACACACATTGTTCTGGCGTGCAGGCAGAACACCGGTGTGTCTGCCTGCACCCCCAAACCAGCCATCTGGAGCCTGCCAAGGAGCGGCATTCACTCCATCACTCTCAAAGCGCAAGTCAGGAACAGGCGTACTCTCACTCAGAGGCAGCTTCGACCTATAGCAAGGTCACTCAGAATGACCCTTGCAACCTCCTGCGGGATACAATTTCAGTAACAGCTGCGAAAAATGTGTCTGAGTGAGCCCACCACTGGATCCATCATCAGCTCTGTGTCAAGCACCTCTCAGGTCCACCCTCAAAAGGAACAGAAAATTCAGCATGAATATTCAACTGCCAGAAGAGGGGGCCCACAGTCGTTGGTGCCCAACGGGGCCTTCCACCCCAGTGAGGCTAAAACCACGGGTGCTCCACATACAAAACTATCCTCACTATAAAAGAGAACAGCAGAATCCCCCGGGCCTTAGTGGTTATGCCTCAGGCTGCTAACCACAAGACCAGCAGTTCAAAGCCACCAGCCGCTCCTCGGGAGAAGGAGGCTCTCTTCCGGTCAAGTGTGACAGTCTCCGAAGCCCACAAGGGCAGTTAAATGTGAGTTGGTGACAGCTAATACTCTAAGGCCGCGAATGAGTGACAACTCAATTACCATTGTCCTCGATTTCCGGGAAAACCATACAACATGCTCATTCCACAAGCATGTACATGAATGTACGTACTGCTCAGATCGCAAGGGGCTGTTTTACCCCACCCTCTACTCAAAATAAAATAAAATAAAATCCACCAGGTCGGTGCCCTTAGGTCTCCGTGGGAGGGCCTTCTCCTTACAGGTGCATTCTGGTTTGTGTCTGTGGCTCTAGAATAATTCATAATATCCCCGTTCCCTTTCCAAAGTGCCCCAGTTTGTACCATACATAGGGCACCTTACTTATAAATCGCCTTAAAGAACAGGCTCATTATCCTGAGTGATGGTAGAAAGGGTTTTGAAGCCAAGGCAGAGGGGCACTATCAGACTCGTTTTTAAAAATAGCCCTCTCGCTACTTTATTGAGGATGAAGGCTGGGAGCGTCCAGAGTTAAAGAGAGGGGCCCAGCCTAACCCGAGACCACGGTGGGGCCGGGGGACGGGGAGGGAAGGCCTGATGGCCAGGAAGAGGCGCCAACTGGAGGGGCCACTCGCTGACCGCGGGAACTTGCCAGGGCGTCTGGCGGGACAATGTGAGGCTCGAGTGGGCCCCGCAAGCCGGACATCAGACGTCTGAGGCCTTTCATTCAAGGTGGACGCATGCTGGACGCTGCGCGCGAAACGCGGGGTGCAGGCAACCCCAAGGGCGGTCA